GAGGGTTGCAGGTGAGAAAATCTTATTTTTAGCCCCCAGTGGGGGTGGTTTTTCTTGTGGGGGGGGGGGCTGCATTTTTAGAGGAGGGCCCCTTGAAAGAAGGAATTTTAAGAGAAAAAGGTCTTTTTTAAATATCCTTTTGATCATATGGTGGAAGGGGGAAGGGGGCCGTGTAAGCTGGATGCAGGTGGCCAATTCGGCTTGGGCGGGGGGGTGTGGGAATTATCTCTGTCCCGGGGCGTGTGCATGCACAGGTGGGAGCAGAGGGAAGCATCCCCTCGGGAGCTCTTCACAAACCCCAACCTTCAGCCTCCCTGTGGCCCCCCACTGGCTCCAGGGGGAACCTCCCTCTCCACCCCCAGGGGTCGTGGGAAGTCGTGGAAAGCAGAGGGCCCTTTTGCCTTGAGTTGGCCCTCCCCACCCGGGGAGGGGACCCACCCTGTTCCAGGCACCCCGTGACCCCTTGTTTAGGTAGAGCAAGGTTTTGCCTCCCCCTGTAAATCGGGAGACCTAGAACAATGATTCCTTTTCCTTTCCAGCTAAAAGGCCTCTCCGGGGGTTGCCTTTTAGCTAAATGTGTGTGTGTGGGGGGGGGGGGGGGGGTGGAGGCGCGGGTTGAGGGGGAAGGAGTGAGAGAGATTCCTGGGAAGCTGATCGCATTTGTGAATTGAGGTTACTTCCCCTCCTCTTGGCACATGAGCCCCACGGGCAGGCATGTGAGTCTTAAACCTGCCATGTGACGGGCTCATTCCCAGGTCTGTGGTGTCACAGGGCCGGCAGAGCGACTGCGCTGGGTGTGTGTGTGTGTGTGTGTGTGTGTGTGTGTGTGTGTATGTTCAGGCCCTCGCTGCGGGCAATCGGATGTGCGGATGGTCACTGGGATAGGCCGTTCTGGAGAGCCAGGGGCCCATTTCCGTGACGACGGACAGAGAAAGCCAGGGAATCGGGAGTCAGGGGAACGCGGCCAGATGCCACACCGGGCAGGCTGTGCTGCTCAGGAAGGAGAACCCCGCTGGAACGTGGGGGGGGATGGGGGCGGGAGGGGGGGAGGTTTGTGCTCCGCCTGTGAGGAGTTTCTGTTGGTTCTGCAGTGAGTTGGGGGCACACCCAGCCTCCTGCGGATGGGCATTTGCATTTCACCGCCCTTTCCCCAGAGGACCCAGGAGCCGCCTGGCACCCTGGGCAAACAGCGTCCCTGCTGGCAAAGCAGGAGGGGCTGACGGGGACACGGATATGAGCAAGTCACTGCAGAACGAGGGAGAGGACCCCGTGAGTCTCACTCCCCAGGTCGGGGGCGGGGGGCGGCCGTGGGATTACCCAGTAAACCTGCTTAGGGCTTGGTCTTGAGGGGCTTAAGACACTGATGTTCTCTCTTCTAGGAAAGACGCAGCCCAGCAAACGTCAAGCATTCACAGATTCTCACAGCCCAGACCCTGCAGGTCGCTGCCTCTTACAGAGGGGCACGCTGAGTACATCCATCCATCCATCCATCCATCCCTTCATATTTACTAACGATCTCCCATGTGCTGGAGACTGGGCTCCACAAAGACATCAGGCAGGATCCCTGCCTACATAGAGCTGGCATTTCAGCAGGGTACTGACAATGAACAAGATCACCAAGTGAGATATATAGCATGTCAGGTGATGGCCGATGCTCTGGGGAAAAATACAGCAAGGAAAGGGGCTTAGAGGGAAGTGGGGGGTGGGTGAAGGCCTCGCTGCT